TTATTCCCTTTGGAGGGCAGAAGAAAATAAACTCTGATATGTGTTATCTCTCTTCCAAAAAATACTTGTTTTGTGAAATAATGGAAATATAAAAAATGCATAACTTAAAACATGAAAATGTTTTAGATTTAACCTATAGCTGTGCAGGGCTTTTTAATCATTTGGCCATGGCACTTGCTCTATTTTTGCAAATGCTGCATTACCATTTTTGTCACTGATTTGACTGTAATACCCATGTGCTGCAGATGGCACATACTAAAAATATAAATAGGGCCTCATTTGTTGTTAACTGCTGTCAAGTTGACTTCTGGAATCATATTTCAAATGAAGTGATTTTCTTCCTATCAGTGTTCTTCGTTTCACAAACATACATAGAAATGGGAAATACAATGGCATGGCCAATCCTAACATTTGTATTCAATATATATATATATATTTGTAGAGTTGGAAGAGACCCCAAGAGCCGTCTAATCCAACCCCCTGCCATTCAGGAATACACAAAGCACCCCGGCAGATGGCCATCCAGCATCTGTTTAAAAACCTCCAAAGAAGGAGTCTCCACCATACTCTGAGGGATCCTTGATACCTGAGGATCTTGTCTAGTTCTCTCATATCTAGGTTGAATTTATGTAAATCATTTGTGGTTATTATTTTTGTTTTCTTAAAGTTCAACTGTAAACTTGCTTCTGCACTTTCTTCCTTTTTTCAGTAATCATTCTAAATCATTACTATTTTCTGCTAGTAGTATGGTGTCATCTGCATATCTTAAATTGTTGATTCTCCTTCCTCTAATTTGCACACCTCCTTTCACAGAGTCTAATCCTGCTTTATGTACTCTTCTTAAAAGTATGGTTTATGAATAAAAGACTTACTCTTCCATAAGCATTTTCTCATTAAGATCACATGCCCTGAAAAAAGATAATCACTCTTAGCAAAACTGTTTATAAAAAGATTGCAAACTTTTAAAAAAAATAATATTCTTATTGTTTCATAACTACAGCACAATCCTTCGATGTTTACTTAAAAATTGATCCATTCAAGTGTGGCTTATTCTCAACTAAGATTTCATAGGATTGCAGGTTTCTGCTTTATTGATTACAGTAACACACATCTCTTATTGAAAAAGTTAGAATGAACCTGTTCAGATTTAAAGAGAATGACTTTACTAAGTTTTAACATTAAACATTAAATATAATCTATGCAATATAGGAGGAACTTCCTGACAGTGAGAGCTGTTTGACAGTGGAACACACTCCCTCGAAGTGTGGTGGAGTCTCCTCCTTTGGAGGTCTTTAAACCGAGGCTGGATGACCATCTGTCAGGGATGCTTTGATTTTGAGTTCCTGCATGGCAGGGGGTTGGACTGGATGGCCCTTGTGGTCTCTTCCAGCTCTATGATTCTATGATATATTATATGGAATGCTTAAATTGCTGTGCCATTTTGAATCCTGTTCCTTTTAATGCATCCTTCGGTCTCACTTTACTTTCATATTTATAATGGAAATGTTTTTAAATGATTATTTATTACAGTTGACCACTTACTTAAACATCTTTACCTTAAAAAATGATGTGCAAACAATTGGGACCTGTTTATAGTGGTTTTATGTATGTAAACAAAATAAGCTATAATTTCAAATATTGCACCATGCAATCTCTCTGCATGAAATCTCTCTGATTTCTCTCAGTAGGTTAAGTTAGGACGCTGAGCCGGAAGGACATAATCGGAGCGCCTGTCGTGTAGAAGGGCAGGCGCTCTGATTACGTCCTCAGGAAGGGGTTGGGGTGCCCAGTGTGAAGCTGTCCCTCCCCTTCCTTACCTCCAAGATGGCGCAAAGCGCCGTCTGCAAAGGGGGCATGTCTCTTCAAAGCAGTTCCAGAGGCAGGTGTCATGTGATTAATCTGAAGATTTAACCATTGATTCTGTTTCACTTCCTCATTTTTTTCTACTTCTGCCTTAGCAGTTACAGCACTTTCCAGGGTGTCTTTCTCCATCATTTATTAATGTGTTTTTGCTGTTGTTGTTTTTGTTTTTTTCTACTTCTGCCTTCTGTACACTAAATAGGGTCTCTATGTTCAGGTATGTTAAGTATAAGATATGTTCTCCATGTATATATCTTAATACAAATGCTAAAGAAATCAGATATGGGGATGGAATCGCAGGCCAATATTGTTGTTTTCACATGTTTTAAAGTCATTTACAGCATTTACCTGGAAACTGAGTAGTTGATTAAGTGCAGAGAGTCAACTCACACCTGATTACACAGCAGAAATGTTATGTTAGTGTTTTTTTAAAGGGAATTTAAAAAAAAAAAGAATCTTAACTTCCCTGGAGGTCTTTAAGCAGAGGCTGGATGGCCATCTGTCAGGGATGCTTTGATTGGGAGTTCCTGCGTGGCAGGGGGGGTTGGACTGGATGGCCCTTGTGGTCTCTTTCAATTCTATGATTCTATGATTCTATGATTCTATGATTCTATGATTCTAAGGCTGTATCCGCAGTGCAGAAGTAATCCAGTTCAAAACCACTTTAGTTGTCATGGGACTTGTAGTCTATTGTGGCACCAGAGCTCTCTAGCAGAGAAGGTTAAATGTCTCACAAAACTACAGTCCCCAGAATTCCATAGCATTGAGCCATTCTGGTTAAAGTGGTATCAAACTTGATTATTTGTATAGTGCAGATGCAGCCAAAATCAGTGAGTCCAGCCCAATATGTGTAGAAAAGAGAGTATCAAACTTCATTACAAACTTCAAAACAATAGTAAATTAAATGAAAACACTGGACTATGATAAGGTATGATTGTTCATTGGCATACATTTGTGCTGTAAAGGACAATTTTAAAAAATATATTTTGTTTTAAGAGTTTTTGGTACTTTGGCCTGATCTGTACAATCATATCTCAGCTTATTAGTCTAATATATGCATGAACTTTGTATCTGTAGCCCCATTACTCCTCTCTTCATAGTGCATTGCAGTCAAAGCAAGAAATCACTAATTAAACATATTTTCCCATTATATTTCAACCAATGGTTACCGATTTTGGAGCAAGCCACAATCTTAAATGAAACACAAACCATAGTTTTTAAGATGCCTACTTTTGATCAAGTTAATGACTGTGGCTTATTAGTTTGAACAAAATGTGGAACTATAGTTAATTAGAGATTTATTGGAATAACAGTTAGGTACCATGAATTAAGACTCAGAATGGCTATTCACTTGATCCCCCCCCCCAAAAAAAAGAAAAGCTTGTGTATAACCTCATTTAATAAACTGATATCAGATTGTCTGACCATTATGAGATCATTTTATGGAGTAAATTGGGTTGGACAGAGAACATTTTTTCAAGATTGGTTATGTTCATTTTTAGAGGTTTTATTGAAAATAAAAATGTTGCCCAGCAGATTTGTGAAAGCAGAATAAGAGAAGTTACAATTATCCAGCTTTTTATAACAATATACTATATATAATATTTATGGGGTTTTTTTGGGGGGGTCCTTTCTCTACAAAAGCATCCCATATCTGTTATAGTTCTTGTCTGATAAATGAGACTGGATTACAAAGTCATATTTTAAATATTGGTTGAGGTATTGTTGTAGATTTATTTTTTTTTTTAAAAAAATGCTGTTTTCTCCCCCTGACACCCCCCTCCCATGTACACACAGTCACCCACCCACACAAACAAAGCCATTCATTTTATTGTTATCTAAGTTTTGCCAGGTTTAGGCTAGTTATTGACTTAATAAATGTAAAAAATGTTGACATGCTGTCAATGTTAATGTAGATATCAGTTCAACAGTAACCCCAATGTATGTAAGAGCAAGTATTTTTTTTTACCTTGATACAGAAAAGCAGTCATGTGTGAGATTTAATATACATCCTAATCTATCTTGTCATTGCACGAGCCATGGGTGATGTGCTAGGCAACCATTTTATTTCTTCTCTTCACACAATGGAATAGATACACATGAATGACAGTCAAATCTGCTCTCTGTAATTATTTGCAGGACAGCCTGATATGTACAACAGGAATATAGCAGATTTCCTCCCACTCCCCATAGATTTCACATCAAACGATTTTATTTTTTAACTTGGACACAGATATGTTTTAGCAGCAAAATATATGCTTCCAGAGGAAAGACATTTTAAAATAACAATATTTGGCTGTTAAAATCTTCATCAAGGATATTTAAGATGCAATTATATGCATATATAATTCCACTGAATACTGTAGATTACAGTGTTACAGATTTATATAATATTATTTTTATGGTGACAAAATGTCTGTTTTTGTTAGACTTTGCTAACTATATAATGCATATATTTATTTGTTTGTTTCAAATTGATACGTGTTAGTGTAAGTTAATTCAGATACTGCTTTCAATTGTCTTTTCTTTTTACTCTTAAAATGGCAGTGATTGTAGAAAGAGAGAAGGCATACAAGGTGGCACAAGTAAAAAAATATCTTTGTATGTGTTGGCAAAAACTAGAAACCCTAATATTGGTTTTTAATGTAAAAGACATTTCTGATGAGATTGCAGTTTTTCTAAAAAGAGAATTGAAAATGACACATAACTCTATGCAGCCTGAATCAACAAAACTTTGACTTATATTGATTTAGAATGTACAATATCTTTATGTTTTTTAAAAAAAGAAATTTCTTTTTCCATCAGTGCCATTTTGAATTTATTGAAAAAGTTAGAATTTCACAATAGACTTTAGCATAATCACAAGGGCACAAAAGTAGATTGTTAAACAAAAGTTAGAACCAGACATACTTTTTACACCACTGTCCTACACTTGTTAACTTCATAGTAAATTCTGCTGTGTCAAGTGAAGTTGTTGTTGTTGTTGTTGTGTGCCTTCAAGTCATTTCTGACTTATGGTGATCCTAAGGTGAAGCTATTGCGGGGTTTTCTTGGTAAGATTTGTTCAGAGGAGGTTTTCCACAAGCTTTTCCTGAGGCTGAGAACATGTGACTTGCCCAAGGTCACCCAGAGTGTTTCATGGCCAAAGAGGAATTGAACCCTGGTCTCCAGAGTTATAGTCTAACACTTAAACCACTAAACCACTCTGCCTCCTGAAGTGCAGTTTACTTGAAAGTATTTTTAAAATTGCATCTTTATGGTTTATAGAGCTCAGAGATGTAATTGTCTAATGCAGGGGTAGGCAACCTTTCCCCTTTAAGGGCCGAGGGACTTCAGTTCCCAGAAGCCTCAGCCATGTTGGCCAATAGTCCCATGTTGGCCAATAGCTCCTGGGATTCTGGGAGCTGAAGTCCCTCGGCCCTTAAAGGGGAAAGGTTGCCTAACCCTGGTCTAATGTATGTGTATGCTGCCTTTTTAATGCTGTAGTTTGATATTGTTACATTACATTTTGTAAATCACCCCAGTGCCATAAAATGAAATTCAGTATGAAATATCTGTCCTAAATAAATAATCAGCATTTAATAATTGACAGTGAAATCATATACATGTCTTCTAATAAGTAAGCCCGGTATGTATATTTTGCTGTCTACTTAAGTCATAATGGAGGTGTTATTTTCTAGTATTTTACCTAACTGAAACTTTTCATCACAGGTTTATATTACTTTCCTCTTTTGACCTCAATAGCTTAGTATGACAGCCAAATCCTATAATCACTAATCTAAATTACAGAAATGCAATAATTGTTTAGCTAACAAAATTCTTACATGCAGAACTATATATTCCATCTTATTTTTAGTTCCTTTCACCACTTTAAAAAAAAATGTAAGGGTGAAATTGTTACTTTATGTTTCAAAGGGCAACTTTTTACCACAGTTAGTGTGATTTACCAAAATAATAATATTCACATCTATTATCTTACTGCACTTGCATTCCAAATAAAATATATCCACTAGACCAAAACATAGAGGCTGTTGTCAAAGTGGTCTACACTCATCTTAACAAAGGGGACCACGGACACAACAAGCATGACAAGGTAGAAGTGAACAGCCATATTAATTCCTGAACTATCTGCTACCAATCACTACTGTCTTTTGCTTCGAATTTTACATACCTCCATTGAGTCTAATTTATTTTAAAATTACCCTATCTGGAATTTTAAGTCAATATGAGTTATCAGTGAAAGAAGTAAGGTTTCATTTACAGTACCATCAATTGTTGCCCTTATATAGTAATCATATACATTCATACCTGACACTCCCTCTCCTTTCTTCTCCTCTCCTCTCCTCTCCTTTCCTCTACTCATTCCAGTGTAAACCTACATGGAATGATTATAAAACAATGAAATATTCAGTTAGAAAACTGAATTGCTAATTTACAATATTGCATCTCCCTAGTCTATGTTATAAAGTGCTCAAGAAGCAATGTTATTGTGGTGTTTATGTGTATTTGTATCTCTTTGGGAATGTCTATATGAGAAAGAAGTACCAGCATTAGGCCATTTAATTAGAAGTTGTGTTAACCTTATTTTCAAAAAGTAGGAAGTAGCTGAATACAGGTGTCCCCCACTTTTTGGTGGTATGCTTTTTAATGTCTGCTCTTTCAACAGTCATCAGAACTGCCCCTCTCAGAACCTCATCAAGTCAGAAATGTCCTCACATAAATGGGTTGGATCATCGTTGTGAGTTTTATGCAAGCATACTTCATGTTTTTTCCCCTTATCTCACCTCCCTCCCATCCATCTTTTTCTCACATTCCATGCATTTTAATTGCACATGCCAGTTTCTCATGCTCATAGCAGCTTTACCACCACACTGGCCATCTGAAAGACTGGGTTCCGCATTTCAACAATTTCTGGGTTTTGACAGTATTTTGGTCCTAACGTGTCAAATAAGCAATAGATGCTTGTACTTGAGCAGGATTTTAAAATACTGAACAAATATCCTAGACTTCAGAATGAAATGGCCAGGATTATAGTTTGTTGAATTCTGGTTTGTTGTAGTATCTGACTCATCCCTGTAAAGGCCAATTGCTTGTTAGCCAGTGACAAACTAATATTAAAAGCTATAGCTCTTTTGTGGTTTATGAAATCTGGCTTGTTTAAAACATGACTTAAAGTTATATTTGACCCCAAGCACCACATGGCTTGTTTTCTTTATCTGCCCAGCCTTGGTGTATGGAAGGCAATAAAAAAGGCTGGGCAGCAGCTAGAGTTCAGTTGTCTGAGGCCCAAAACAGATAGGCCAAATAGGGTGACTTCCAGCTGCTTTGGGGATGTGACATTTAGAAGTGGCCAGAAGCCACTCTGAAGCCACCTAAGTTGGCCCAAAGCCACCAGCAAAAGGAGCAAATTTAATTTGCTCCAGCCAGCAGCTGGTGGCCAGCTTCAGGAGCGGGCCATCCAGTCACTCTGGTCCCAGGCCAATCGGGGGTGGAGTGGCCACAGGCCATCTGCTTCGGCCCATAGGTTGCAACGTGAATACAGACAAAAAGACAAATGAGAACCTTTCATCGTATTTACTGTGTGGCAGTAAGCAGGGTAATAAATGTCTCATTATATGTTTGCTGTCTGTTGTGTTGAAAGAAATAAGAGTACTTCCCCTCCTGAAGAGGGCTTCCCTCATCCCAAAGGTAGGTAAGTATTACCAGCTAACTGGAAATATACTGAGGAAGGGGGCACAAACAGCTTGTATATACTAGTTGTAGCGATTGGCCCATTTCAGGATATCTTGGCTTATCATTCTAGACCCATTTTAGTATGGTTTATGACTGAAGTTTGGAACTCAAATAGCATTGGCACCTTGACATGTAACCAGGGTTGGGAGAAAGTTGGGAAAATGTTACCCATTGTTCTTAGAACCATACAATCACAACCCCTTGCTAATGCAGAAATGTGTAGCTAAAATATTTCTGACAGGTTGTTATTTTAAAAACATCAAATTAATGTCTGTCAGCTTCCAAGATAGCATGCTCCTCTGTAAGATGGATAGTGCTATAAGGAAGTACTTCTCATAATTAGTCTGAACCACTCTTGTAATTTGAATACATTGGTTTGGAGCATATAATCTAAAACAACAACAAAGACAACAAGCTTACTCTATGAGCCCTTCAGATATTTGTAGATGGCTATTATATTTAAAGGTAGCTCTCAACTTTTCTTCTCTATGTTAACCATATCCAGCTGCCTCAGTTGTTTCTTATAGGGCTTGGTTTCCAGAACCTTTATCATTTTGGTTACCCTCCAATTTTGTGTGATTTGCAAATTTGATAAGATACCTTCTGTTACATCACCTATTATTTACAAAGATGTTCAATAACACTAGGCTCAGGACATAAAACTTCAGTATCCTGCCATTATGGGGGACCTTGTCAAATGCTTTATTAAAATAAACTACACCCCACAGCATTCTTCTGATGTAACTCTAAAAATAAATAAGATTAGTCTGGTATGAGTTGTTTTTGAGAACCCTAGTAGTAATCATAACATTTTTTTTCATAGTGGTCATAGACTGTGTTGTAGAACCTATCTTGGCTAATTGACTGGTAATTGCCAGGATTCTCTGCTTTCCCTCATCAGAAAATGCAGTCAGCCCTCCTTATCCATGGATTTTTTATCCATGGATTCAAGCATCCATGGCTTGAAAATATTCCAAAAAAAAAAAAAGTATAAATTCCAAATAGAAAACCTTGATTTTCCATTTTGTATGAGGGGCACCATTTTGCTATGCCATTGTATTTAATGGGACTTGAGCATCCACAGATTTTGTTATCCTCGGGGGGTCCTGGAACCAAACCCCAGCTGATAACAAGGATCCGCTGTAGATGTATTTGCTTTACTATTGTTTGCATTAACCTCACTTGTTCTCCAAGAAGTCTTCAAGCTTATAGGTAGAGACTTAACATCTGCAGGTTCCTTTATTGCCCTTGAATACAATTCATTTCTCTCCTGAGAATTGTACAGGTTAAGCACCCCTAATCCAGAAATCCAAAAACCTCCAAAAACCAAAACAATTTTTTGTCAGCCACCTGTGTCTGCCTTCGAGGCAGTTGTTGTGGCACTCTTGCTCATTCGTTTCTCAGGTCCTCAGTCTCTCTCTAGCCTCACCTCTCATACATAACACAAGTAGTGAAAGAACAAGACATAGGGCTGGAGAGAGACGAGCAAGCAGGAGTGCTGTCATTGCCCCTTCCTTCAAGACAAAAGTGAGTTGCTGGCAACAAAAGGAGATGAGACTAGAGAGATAGTGCTCAGTACAAATCCACGCCTCCCACCATTTCACAGATCTTCATGTCTCTTTGTGCAGCCTTGCAAATACAATATAGAAACGTACTATGCTACTTGTCTATTCTAAAATCCAAAGTAATTCCAACTCTGGAACACTTCTGGTCCGAAGCATTTTGGATAAGGGATACTCATCCTATATTAATTTAAAGTTCGTAGGTGTTCCTGCATTCACCTCAGTTTTATGCATTATTCTTTTGTTTTTCATTAGAACTATTTGTGATTGTGCTTTCAGTATTTCATCTTTAAATAATTCACATCCATCATGAATTTCCTTCTTATTGAATATTTGTCACAACTGGATCTCACTCAGCTTTTTGTTAAGCTTCTTGAAATCATCTTTAACATTTAAGTTATGCCATTACAAAACAATGTGAATTAGAGAACAATGAAAAACAATTAACTAAGCTTTCATATTAAGACCAAACACTAAATTAAAACAATTTAAACACAGTGGTATCTGCTAGTGTTTGGTTCCACAATTCCAGTTGACAGCCAGTTGTCACTGTTGTATTCTCTCTCTTCTGATTTCAGACATAAGCAAGTGATGAAGATCCTCATGGATCTCTTAGTTGCCTCTTGATATTATTGACCATGGTATCTTTATCAGATTGGCTCTGTGGGATGGAAATGTTACATTCATTTGTTTCTACCTACAGGTCCAACTACAAACAGTAACACTGGAGGATTTCTATTTTTCCTCAGAGGTATAAGCTCTTGGATGCTCTTGGATTCAGTCCCTCATACAGTTTAACATCTGTTTGAATCCATAAGTTGAGATCATCAGGGGACTGGAGTTGGGTGCCATCAGTTTCCTAACAATATCCAGCTCTATTATTCCTTGTCACAAGAGCCAGGTGAGGTTCTGTAA